ACAGCTAGCAAAGAGTATTCAAAGAGACACGAGCCTTAATAGGTACATGCAAAGATTCAAGAAAATAGAAAGGAACGGTTACTCGAATCTCTTGTTAATTTGAAGAGACATCGGAGGAATGAACCTAGATAGCAAAAAGTACAGATACGTATTATCCGTAATTAATGAGCATCAATGATGGAAAACATTACAGAATCTTCACGAAACAGTTATGATTACCAATTATAATGTTACAATAATGCCATTAAATGCTCATTATGGCTCTATTATGAGAGGAAAGAAGCGTAGTACTTAGAAATAGCTATAAAAGGAGAGAAATAACATTTGTAAAGGGACACGGATTATTATTGGAATACACTGATTTACTTTGCTTTCTTTTGCTTACTCAGCTATCTTTTAATTTAATTCTTCTTATTTGTTTCATATTTAATTATCAGTAATGCGAGTTCTTCTAAAATTAAGCTTTGACCGAAATTCCTATTTTCTGGTTAAACAATGGGGAAGAATAATCATCCAATATGCATTCACCAAAGCCCAAACTATTTTGCTGAAGACGTGACTATTAGTCCAAGTAAACCACACGCCATACGTCTACATAACAACTATACCAGTATCAAACAGATAGTCAATACAATCTCTTACTTCTACTACGTGTACATGGCTTCCACAATGCCTATCCTGGGCAAAGAGGATAGTGTTATGATCTCCCGTAGTTAACCAAGGTCGCTGTTGAGTGCCTTGAATTGCTCGAAGTTCCTCCCATAACATGTTCCTATCTTCAATGGTATGTAGCCCATAAACAACTACAAAATAGAATTATATGTTCATGTTATTACATATCACCTTGCCATGGATACACTCCTCTAGCGCACTTATCATCGTATAATTAATTACTCTAGGATCTTAGAGAATTCGTACTCTACCTCTATTACTTTGACTATAGTTGTGATACCAGCCCCACCCTTACTATCCTTATCCTTCATTCTAAGTGCATTCTTTTCTTTGATTCTATGCTCAAGGACTACTATTTACGAAATATTTTTATTCCTCAAGCACTCCTTAAACTCTTTTTGCTTGTAGCATTTATTAAACCCTCTAATATTCCAGGTAATAAGATTCATGCTTGGATATGATAAGAAGATGTGCCCCCGAATCTACCTCTCCATTCCTCTGTTCCTTCCTTGATTTAGTCATACATCCTGCCTTTTGTAACTAGGAATTTGTCTTATCCAATGGACAAAAACCATTTTCGACATTCAACTCATGTCGCCCACCGCTTTGCTCTCCCTTAGCAGCTGATTTGCCTCTGACAGTCTGCCACTGTTCATCTTGTATTTGGATAAAATTTACTACCCTCGCTAGGGAAAATTTTATTTTGTATCTCGTACAATTGGCGCTAGTTGTATGAGGCATCTTTTTTTGTCTCACAGTTTTGTGGATCCAGAAGTGTAAGATTGGGGTCCACAAATTTGTAAGACAAAAAGGAGCCTCATACAACTAATGTTAGTTGTGTGAGGCACACCATAAAACTTCTCCCTCCTTCAGGTTTTGCATTACAATAGTCCCATGATCTTTCTGAGCAGCTTGCCTCTCATTTTTGCATCTCTTTGTTTTCTATCACAACGAGTATTCGTACCCGCACGTTGCGCGAAAAATAAAAAAAATAAAATATTTTTTTTACTTGAATAATACGATGGACACAAAGGAGCATGAAAGAAATATGATTTTGTAATTCATTCGTTATATATGTTGGGTTTTGTTGCTCTTCATATATTTACATACATAATCGACACACATTGTGTTTTCAGAAAAGAAAAGAAAAATCCAGATAGATCACATACATAATTTACTTAAAGCTTCTAGCCAATACTGTAAAGTAAATTTTTGGGCTTTATCATTCTTAGATAAACCTTTGCCTATTTGCATGAAGAAACGAAAATGTTAGAAACTAATTACTTATAGAATTGATGTGATCCAAATTTACTTTGACAGCTCTAGTTTCTCGCTCTTGACCATCACGAAATTGATGTCTCATGCTTCTCGAGATGAAGAAATGAAATAGAAGTGTGTTCGACTTATGCCAACTGTAATAGCTTCCACCTGTAACAAATCGAAAAGGGTATCAGAAAAAATTAAAATCAATACAACTTTATTTTAACCGAAAGGAAATCAAAATACATACCAAATATGTTGAACGAATACTGTAATATATGGTAATTTTCGTCTCGTCCAAAAGCTTTTGCATACTTTCTCTAAAATTATAGTTGTATCATATTTTGTGCTGCTACTATATGCCAAAAGCTGTAAGATTTTTCATGATTTTCTTTTAAGGATAAGGACTTGACAGACTTATCAGTTTGGGAATATTAAGCAAGTGTTTGTAATGGATTGTGCAAGCTTGCAAGAGAAAAGTAGTTGTACGAAAATAAATGTGCATTTTCAATCAATATTTTATGGTCCTTAAAAGCACACGGTTCACAAAGAGATACTACATGAGTTGAGTAAATTCCAATTAAATGAGCTTCCTGCTCATTAGTTGCAACTTCAACAATACATAAGTTTATGAACTCATCATGTGTACCTTCAAATTGAGAACAAATACTAACTAAATCATCTTCTTAATGCATAAATCCATAGCACAAAAATTTAAGATATATCAATCAAAAATTATCCCGAGCACTTCTTAGAAATAAAATTACATTAACTTTATTATTTGAACCGGAAAAGAAGGAATACCAAAGAAGATGGATAAATAGTACTAATTATAACAACATTGTTGACTTTAATAAATTTTCCAATCAATCGTCTTCCCTACTAACTTAGAATACATTGATCATTTGTAGGTTTATAAAATCTGAATAACTAGGATATTGTACTAGTACAAAAAATAGTACTAAAAGAAAGGCATGTCAGAGCTCAATTGATTTGTTTTTTCAATTTTAAATTTTCTGAAAAAATCAACTAGCTTGTTCATGTTCAACCACTTCCACCTTACACAACCAAACAAGCTTTGGCAGATAAATGCTATTCTAAAATCTATATTATAAAAAAAGTTTATAAATAAAATTTATTTTGGTTCAACCCCATTTTCACCTTGAATTGGTCAAACCAGCTTTTCTATAAACAACTATAGATCTAGAATATAGGAACAATGAAGTTAAATAACTATAAGAATAATTCCATATAAAAAATATGCTATAAAATTAATAGTTTGTTTAATTTAAAACCATGCCATAGATTCGTCAATTCCAAATTAAAAAAGATACAAAGATGTGAATGATCATCGACAATCAAAGCCATAGACCCAACTAATAAGAAAGTTTTAATCAACTCAACACCTACACAAGATAGAGATAGAAATTTATTGACTCTTTTGGTTGTTATGGTGGCCAGCAATTTTAGTTGCGGATGCTAGCGGATGAGATTTTTGTAGTATAGGGTTTTTCAATTAAGGTAACTCCTGATTTAACTTTTTTTTTATATTCTTTAGTCTAAATTGAGAGGGTATATATTTAGGCGGGAAGCTATTTAGAGGAAAAAATAAAAATTAAAGGCAATACTAAAAGCAAAAACAATAGTTTTACTATCTGTTCTCTTGAATGACAAATAAAGATATACTAATTACTCGTTAATTTATTGGCCGCTAATATTTGTCTTTCATGAATATATTAGCGGCAATTAGTTTATTGTTATAAGCAATTGTCGCTAAATCCCCTTTTTATTGTAGTGCTTGGAAATTCCCCTTTTCTTATTAGGAGTCTTTTATGCATTAAATAATTTTTTTTTCAGTTTCTATTTACTTTCTAAAATTGTTAGAATTGGTAAACTAAAAGAAGATGTCTGAAAATTCAGATGAGTAGTAACAGGTAGTCAAAAATTGAAGTGATAATACTTTAGAGATTTGCGTGTTAGTCCTCTCAATGCGCTGAAGTGTCATGATAAGCCTATTCGTAAAACTGTTAATTTTTAAAATTCTCAAGTCTTTATTTGTTTTAAATCAGACGTTTACATGATTCAACACATGCAAAATGAGAATATGTCATGTTTCTCATTTGTCATTTGCCAATTAGACTGGGAAATTTTTGTTCTGGCATTTCAACAAATAGCACCTTTGTATTGGTCAAAATTTGACCGTCACGACTAAACTAACAAGGTGATTAGGCAGTGAAAGATAGCGTAGTCTACTCTACATCTCTTTTCCGACACCCGCTGAGTCGGAAGAAACAACGCCTAAAGGGACGATCGAGACATATTGGAGGCAAGAGGGCGTCGGCCCAAGTAAAGGACAAGGGTGACTTGACTATATATAGTGGGGGGAAACCTTCGATTAAGAGGGTGACTCCCTTCTTTCTCTCTCTGAAGCTCTCTTCTTGTATTCTTGATAGGAATGAAGTAATCCATAGAAGAACATGTAAAGTTATCCCTTATCGATCGATGGGAGACACAATATTGAATTTCAATAAGATCATTTACATCTCTTTTATCTTGTATGCGATCTATACTACTAATTTTTTGATCTGGAATTAATTATGTCTGACTAAGATTTACCCCTTCATATTCTTTGATTTGTTCAAAAAGGTTTGGATATTTTTGAGTCAAACAACCTTATTTTTTCATTATTTAAGATTTGTTCTTTTCTGTATTTTTTAATGTTCCTTCAATAGAAAATAGGCAGTCTCTTGCGTGGTCTCCTCAAACTCTGTGGTTGTCTTTTGGAATTGATATTTCATCACGTTTTTTCCCTTTTTTTTTTATTATTATTAAATTAGGGGTGTGGTAGGAGCGGAGATGACTTATTAGTTACGCGTTTGAACTTAGTAGTTTTCGTTTAAATTTTATATTTATTTTAAAATATATATTAAATATGTACAAATTATTAATTTAAAATTCAATAATATTAAATTTCAAACCCAAACTTCAAATTGTAACACATCATTTTAACACGTCTCCGAGTAGGGGATAGGAGAAAAAGTTGAAAGAAACTCACCAAGTTATTTTTCTAATTTCCAACTAAAATATTATCCAATGCTAAATAGTGTCTCCTTAAATAGTCAACTTAAGTGGTTCTTCTTCATTTTATAGCTCAATCTTTCTTGTTTGATTCAACCATGGAGAACCAATACTCCTACTCATTCTCTTCCTACTTCTACTTAGCTATAGCACTGTTTCTTCTTCCAACTTTAATCAAATATATTTTCCATCAGAGAAGAAATCTACCTCCAAGTCCATTTTCTTTTCCAATAATTGGTCACCTTTACCTTCTCAAGAAAACTCTCCATCTGACTCTAACATCCTTATCAGCTAAATATGGTCCTGTTTTATACCTCAAGTTGGGCTCTATGCCTGTGATTGTTGTGTCCTCACCATCTGCTGTTGAAGAATGTTTAACCAAGAATGATATCGTATTCGCAAATAGGCCCAAGACCATGGCCGGTGACAAGTTTACCTACAATTATACTGTCTATGTTTGGGCACCCTATGGCCAACTTTGGAGAATTCTTCGCCGATTAACTGTCGTTGAACTCTTCTCTTCACATAGCCTACAGAAATCTTCTATCCTTAGAGATCAAGAAGTTGGAATATTTATCCGTTCGTTATACAAATTCTCAAAGGATAGTAGCAAAAATATCGATTTGACCAACTGGTCTTTTACTTTTGTTTTCAACCTTATGACCAAAATTATTGCTGGCAGACATATTGTGAAGGAGGAAGATGCTGGCAAGGAAAAGGGCATAGAAATTATTGAAAAACTTAGAGGGACTTTCTTAGTAACTATATCGTTCTTGAATATGTGTGATTTCTTGCCAGTATTCAGGTGGATTGGTTACAAAGGGCTGGAGAAGAAGATGGCCTCAATTCACAATAAAAGAAATGAATTCTTGAACAGCTTGCTTGATGAATTTCGACACAAGAAAAGTAGTGTTACACAATCTAATACTACTGTTGGAAACATGGAGAAGAAAACCACGCTGATCGAAAATCTCTTGTCTCTTCAAGAATCAGAGCCTGAATTCTACACAGATGATATCATCAAAAGTATTATGCTGGTTGGTATCCTGTTATTTTGGCCTTCTTCTTTTAGAAAATAAAAGAAAAATAAAAAAATTAAACTTTCATCTAAGTTTGATGTGACTGCTTACATTTAGAGTAGATATATACTCTTATCATGCGGACTTCTTTTCTTTGTTGTCACTTTCAAAAACGTGAATTCCATGTGCATCTCATCTAGGATTGATTAGTCAATACTTGTCTCTTAAAGTAGATATATTCAAAATTAGTGCTCTCATTTCATTCTTTTTAATTGGTCTTTTCCCTCTGTTTAGATTATTATTATATAGTCCTCATTTTGATTGATGCATGATTGCATTTGCTTGGCAATAAGCAGCCTAATCTCGACTTGTTAGAGCTAATTTTAATAGGTGTGACAAATGGGTTGTTTTGACTGTTTTTGGGTTGGTCTAGATGGAACGACTCATTAAATAAGTCCAACCCTTTCCAAAGTTTACATGGGTCAAGATGGGCTATACAATGGATTGTAACCCAACCTATCTAAATTGACCCAAATCTTTGTAATATTCCCAATTTTTAAACAAGCATGTAAAAGTTGTTTTGTGTTTTGAAGTAAATGTCAGTTTATGCATAATGATTTCTTTCCTCAGTTTAAATTTAGAACTTTATTTGATAGTTCTTTATCTTATAATACTAACAAAGATCTGAATAATAAAAAAAAATAGTAAAATTAGAACTTTCTACCCAACCCAACCCACCTCCCACCACCCCAATTCCCACCCTACACCTGTACCTCCCTATCCCTATTCACTTTTTATTTTTTATGTTGTAGATAGAGTATATTTTTTTATTTAAACAAAATGAATATTTTTTACGATTTAGAAAAAAAAATTCTTTCGTTTCAACAAAGCAAGTATTTTCTTTTCGTGATATAGAAAAAGTATTTTCTTTTTCATAAAATGAGTACTTTTTTCATGTTGTAGAAACAGTATTTTCTTTTATTTTAATAAAAAAAATACTTTTTTCATGATGTAGAAAAAATATTTTCTTTTTCACAAAATGAGTATTTTCTTTTCCTGTTGTAGAAAAGTATTTTCTTTTATTACAACAAAAAAAATACTTTCGTTTCATGCTGTAGAAAAGTATTTTCTTTCATTTCGATAAATGAGTACTTTCTTTTCATATTATAGAAAGAATACTTTTGTTTTGTTTCGACAAGAAAAAGAATATTTTCTTTTCAGCTATAAAGCTCAAATCTCAATGTTGTTCTTATGAGAAAAAGTAAAGCATCACTTAGTTTCTTTGGATTTGTGTGGATTTTTTAAAAAACTAATTGAATTCTTGAAGAATATAGAATGTTGAAAACGTTGGGTATTTGGGAGGAAGAAGGG